CCAAAAAGGGGCGCCCCTGCCACTTCAGTTGTGGCCTCTGCATCAGATGCAGCAGTGTGGGATGGTAGGCAGGGGGATCCCCAGGAGTGGAGCTGGGAGTGCACTGTCCGCCAGCCCCACCCTGGGGACTATTGAATGCTCGTGTAACTGCTAACATTTTATGCAGTTACACAGATATTCAATTACACAGTATCTAACATCCCTAATTTTGCCTGTCCCTGACTTAGCCATTCCTGCCCATACTGTAGCCAGGGGACAGAAAGTGGCTAGGTTATGTCAGTGGCCAGCAGCAATCTGGAGGTGTGGGCTGCCTTTCAACACTGTGCGGGAAGGAAGGGACAAGCTACTTCCAGCTACAGAGAATGGGTTGGGAGGGATGAGCTCTGCAAAGACATGGTCCCTTCACCACCGCTCCCCACGGCTGGAGGCCTTTCTTAATTTGGAGCACATTCTCCTACTGGTGAATGTTATCAAGTCTAAGCAACAGACACCCCTTGGGTTTTTTAACAGCTATTTTACCCATCATCCCCTGAGACAGAGAAATACAAGGTGTATCTTGGAAGAAGTTTCTCTTTCCAAGAAGGTTTATTCTATAAAGTCATTTTTAAAATGCCTAAACGACAAAGCAGATGAGAAGCTCTGCTAGGGGAATGACCCTGCAATCCCTGTTAATCAGAGTTAAAATCTGATAGACTACAAATATTGTTAGAAGAAATTGACTGTCACAGTTGATCAATGCCATTAAATAGACTCTCATCAAAGTACTAGATGTTTCAGTCAGATACATGTGCTACTGCTGTTCCCTCTGGCTGCTGAGTACAGATAACAACAGAAGGAAGCTGCAGTGTAACTAGTGGTGATTTTTATTTCATTGTCTTGCCTCTTTTTTTCCCCCTTCCTTCTTTTTTAGGTACTACCTGTTTGATTGCGTTGCTGTCAGATAAAGAACTTACAGTGGCCAACGTTGGTGATTCACGGGGAGTCTTGTGTGATAAAGATGGGAATGCTATCCCTTTGTCACATGATCACAAACCCTATCAACTGAAGGAGAGAAAGAGGATTAAAAGAGCTGGTAAGATTATAGACTTATCTTTTCAGTTTTAACTCATTGTTTAATAATTTATTCTGTAAATAATACACAATTATTTTTTTCACATGTGATGCATGCTCCTGAAAGGTGCCAAGTTGATGGTCTTGGAGAGTGATGTTTCCATGGTATAGAATATTAGCTTTTATAAAGTACTTTTCACCCATTGATTTCAAAGTGCACATAGGAAAACAGAGGCATAGAGAGTAAATAATTTGTTCAGGGTTTCTCCATGCAACATAACACCCTCAGATACAAGCGTCCACCTCTAAGAATGAGGGCAATTGAGTCTGCATATCCTATTCAAACCTCTCTACGGGTATGTCTATACTACCCCCCTAGTTCAAACTAGGGGGGTAGTGTAGACATACCCTACCTCTGCTAAAGCTACTATCAAGGGGTATGTCTACACTACCCCGCTAGTTCGAACTAGCGGGGTAATGTATGCATACCGCACTTGCTAATGAAGCCCGGGATTTGAATTTCCCGGGCTTCATTAGCATAAGCGGGGAGCCGCCATTTTTAAATCCCCGCTGCTTCGAACCCCGTGCAGCGCGGCTACACGGGGCTCGAACTAGGTAGTTCGGACTAGGTTCCTATTCAGAACTACCGTTACTCCTCGTGAAACCCCTAAACTTGTGAGTGGACAACAGGGAATAGATCATTCAGTTAGTGCCCTGTTCAGTTGATTCCCTCTGTGATGAGTGGGAGGGGCATTACCCTTTTCTGGACATCCCAACCATTCAGTTAACTAAATTGTCTGTAAAGTTAAACCCAGAGACAGGGGATTTCCTGAAAGTGTTGGCAGGGAGTCAGGAAAGCCAATGGGAAAAGTGTGTGAAATTTGAGTTGAAGCAGTGAT